TCTACCTACCTACCTATTATCTAAATCTATCTTATCTCTCTCTGTCTCTATCAATTTGTCTACTACCAGTTGTCTATCCATCCATCCATCCATCTATCTAATCTATTTTTTAACTGACCTTTCATTTTTAACATTTTTAATGGCTTTTCTCATGCCAGTGTCTTTTCTAGAGGATGCCACAGTCTAAATACTAAAACAACTTTGGGTTTAGCCACTGATATATTCACTCTCTCTTTACTTCCTCTTCATTGTACTTTATAAGCCTAAAGAAGAATAACTGTAATTAGCTTTCTTTTAGAGTTCAAACAAAATGGCAAACACTGATTGCTTTACTCTCTACACCAAATTGATTGGTCTCATTGAAAAATTTTTCACATGAATTTGCATATATTTTCAAAGCACATGGAAAATATATTCAATAATCTTCCCTGCTTCAGCTCAAAATTATGACATCATTTCCCAGTTGTCTTACAGGAATCGGTGCTCCTGTGCAATGTGTTTTGGGAACATGTTGAAGCAAGGAGCTATTTCTATTGTCTACCCACACGTGGGCAAGAAACTTGGGCAGTCACTAGGTAGCATATAACATGAAGCCCCAAGATATTATTTAAGACAAGTCAAGGTTTAATGTTGAATTGCTACTACTTCAAATAGATCAGGTTTTGATGGCCAATGGATCATAGATTTTACATTAAGGGAAAAATATATAATTCAAAGCAATAAGACAGTTTAGGAAGTGGTGTGTACCAAGAGTGGAATGGAAGGAGTGGTCTGCCCTCCATTCAGGTAATAAAGGAACGCATTATCTGAAATAATTTTTCTCAAATTACAACTAAAAGTTGGTTGTCTTTGCTGTCATTGTTTCCTGGCAATTCTTTACATCAGTAGTAAAATAATCTTCCTTCCCCAAAAATTTTTTGTTGGTTTTCCTTTTAAACAATGGCTGAGGTTGCTGTTCAGTTTTCATTGTGTGTATAGGTATAATTTATATATATATATATAATATATATATTATATATATATAATTCAAAGCATATACATGTTTTAAATTTGCACATTTTTATTACTTATTTTTAAATAATCATTGCATTCTACATGGAATTGTTTTAGAGAACTCCTCTCATAGTGAATTCTCAACGTACAGCTGATATGTGCACATTCAACACCATGTTTGTTTCCAGATCAGGTTAGTAATAGATTATTTGAATTCACTCACTTTGATCAAAGGTTGTATCTCTAGCCTCTGCGGTATTAGATATACCAGAGTTTCAACGGTAGTTTGGAAATAAGCAAGGACAGTACAGTCATCTTTACCATCTAAAGATCAACAACTAGAACTTGAGTCACTTCAAGTCTGTCATTCTGTAATCCAGGGTCTCCAGGTTTTGGGGTACACACTGTGAAAAAGTACCCACTTATAAGTGTTGCACCTTGAGTTCTTGTTTCAAATATTTATAGGAAGAAGCTCAGCCCCAGCCAAACAAAACCGGGTTGGAGGCAGCGATGCTGATGCTTGAGTTGGATTACGCCCCTCATTAGCATACTAAAAATCCTGCCCAGGAAGGAGTTTATTTGCCCTTTTCTATACATGTGATATAGATAGAAGTATGATAGGCAACTGTTCCTGGCTGCCTTTATTCCCCCTTTATATACAATGACTCAGCTGATCAGCCCAATAAAAGCCCAGTATTCACCTTTGTCCAGAGAGGCTCTACTTTGGGGAACTACCCCAATCCCATGTCCTCCTGATTTGTTGCAAGTAATAAAATCCCTGTGTTAAATCCTTCTTGGTTGTAGTCATTTGAGGCTGACCCACCAAGTGAGCTAGGGTGGAGGGTGTTAGATGCTGCAAAGGCCTAATTTGGATAGGCAGACCTAAAAATTGCTAATAATAATGCACTGCAAAATCATGGCATTAGACAAAGAGGCACATAAATTTCCAAAACTCAATACAGAATATTTGATAATAATGTATTTTTCTTATGACATTTTTTGTGTTATATTTATCTTGTTGAAATATTTGTTTTCAAAAACTATGTTAATGCAACCTCTTTATAGTTGTTGCATTAACTTTTCAATCCAACTTTCTGGCACCGCTCTCTCCAATGCCCCCGTGCCTACCACCTTGAAGCAGCTCTTTCTGGCTTACCCCTTCCTTGTTGTAAATTTTTATTGCCTTGTATTCCACATCTGCAATCTCTCAGATGTCCATTAAATCCTGCTTTTGGACGGCACGGTGGCTCACGCCTGTAATCCCAGCACTTTGGGAGGCCGAGGCGGGTGGATCACGAGGTCAAGAAATTAAGACCATCCTGGTCAACATGGTGAAACCCCGTCTCTACTAAAAATACAAAAAATTAGCTGGGCATGGTGGCGCGTGCCCGTAATCCCAGCTACTCGGGCGGCTGAGGCAGGAGAATTGCCTGAACCCAGGAGGCAGAGGTTGCGGTGAGCCGAGATCGTGCCATTGCACTCCAGCCTGGGTAACAAGAGCGAAACTCCGTCTCAAAAAAAAAAAAAAAAAATCCTGCTTTTCAACCTCTATTTTGATCTTTGCTTGCTGTTGGTTGTGACACATGGATAAAACATATACCTTAAAATGTTCACTGTCCTAAAGGTTTGTTACTTATGGTAACTGTTACTTCTCAGTTGCTTTCTCAGATCCTGACAATCATGCAGTAGCCTCCAATTAGCTGAAATCAACAAATTTCTACCTACGGTGAGGAATGTGACCATGCAATTTATTGTTCAAATCATGACAATTGTGAGACTAAAAGGTTTATTACTAAGAAATTACAGCTGATCCTTGAAAATCATGAGTTTCAATTGCAAAATTCACTTATATTCTGATTTTCTCCTGCCTTAGCCACCCCTGGGACAGTAAGACCAAGTACTCCATCTTCCCCTTCTCCTCAGCTTACTCAATGCGACGATAAACAGGATGAAGATCTTTATTATGCTCCACTTCCACTTAACTAACCATAAATATATTTTCTTTACCCTGTAATTTTAATAGCATTTTCTTTTCTCTACCTTACTTTATTATAAGAATACAGTATATAATACATAGCATACAAAATATGTGTTAGTTGACTATGTTATTGGTAAGGCTTCTGGTCAACAGTAGGGTCTTAGTCATTAAGATTTTAGGCAGTCAAAAGTTATAAGCAGATTTTTGACTATGTAAAGGGTCAGCTCTCCTAACCTCTATTTTGTTCAAGGTTCTACTATAGTTTTATTATATGAATAGACCAATGTAATATTTTTATTAAAACTATTTGTGAAAATAAAATTCCAATAATATCCTATTAAAATTAAAAATTTGAGGCAAATGATGAACTAATAAACAGGTGTCATCTGAGATTATATCAGATAAACTGGGGTAAATAGTCAATCTTTTTATAACTAACCTGGGCTTACAGAAAGTAGTTTTACATTAGTTAAGGTCAGTTAGATAGATTATTTAATCTATTAGATTGGTTATTTAACTCTATCTTTTTTGGCAATTCACCCTATAAATAACCAACCAAAAAATGGAAATTCATTTACAATGGATTTGGTGTCTTTTTTAACATATCTACAATTGTAGCTTTTTTTAGAGTTCAGATTTTTCCTGAGATGTACTTTGTCTAATTAAAATGTATAGTTTTCAAGTTCAATATTTATGGAATAGCTCTTTGCTAGGTGTTTAGCATATTAAATGGTGGGATTTCCATGTTCAGTATAGGATACACCATCAAAAAGATTGATATAGATGATTTCACACTGAGAAGAAAACCAAGTTGGTTACAAAACCTTCTACTATCCCATCGGTAATATTCAGGTGGGGCAATAGACTTATTCTTAGATAAAGACGTTCAGTTGAATTAGGTACAAGTTCACAGAGCTAAGAATTTTAGGTTGGAATTATGGGCCAGATGCCAGTAGGCAAATAATTTGTTTTAAAGGCAAATAATTGCTTCTAAAATTCTTGCAAACTGAAGAAAGCAACCACAAACCAGATCATACCGTGTTATGTTAAACCAAGTTATAAAAGTGCTATGTTAAACCAAGTTATAAAAGAACAGCATCTGAGTAAGAAAGGAAGAAAATAGAAACTGCGGAAGTGCACAGACCCTATGCAATGATCTCACTCCATACAGCAGGGTTGAAACTTACATTCAGAAAAGCAAGTTAAATTCTACTATTATGCCAAGAATGATTTCTTTCGAGAAACATGGAAAACAGTGCTTTCCCAGTGGTCGATTTTGACAGATTCCTCCAATCATAATAGCAAGCAATTTGCATGCAATCTAACCCGTCTTTAATTAAATTGTTACCCCATTCACTCTCTTAAAGGCCAACTTGTTTCTCCAAACAGATGTGACATAATTACCAGCTCCAAGAGACTGCAGCTCAACTGAGCCAACTGTATTTTCCCTCTTCTCTCTTTTAAATGCTAAAATATCTAATGGTCTGTTGGAGAAGACTTAATACCATGGAGCAATTTAACAGCTTCAGAAAATTGTCCACACACATCTAGCAAAGCAGAATATATTTCATGGAGCATTCCACTTGATGGTACAGTAATAAGGAATTTGTCACTGCAAAGATTTTAGGGTTTATTTTGGAACAAACACCAAACTGACTGTTAGGCTCTATTTCTCTATTTTTCTATTCCTTTCCTCCCGCGGTGAGAGAGAACCATACACAATGCTTTATTCACCAATTGCATTAATTGAAAATGTCTCTGGTGGGGTAACTAAAACCAGTATCCATTATCCATTCCTTACCTCCCAGCCTGTGTTTTCTTATTAGTCACAGTGGGTTGAGATGGAGCAAACTGCTGGGTCTCAAGAGCACTCACCGTTCAGTAAGAAAGGAAGCAACAGACTGAAGAAATGAAAATGGCCCTGGAAGAATCATTGTTGGCAATATGGGGTAAAAAGAATTGCCTTTGGTCCTCCCTGAGAAAAGGCTTATTGTCCCCTTGTCACAGAACTCTCTGTGACATGTAATCCCAGCATTTTGGGAGGTCAAGACAGGAGGATTGCTGAGGCCAGGAGTTTTAGACCATCCTGAGAAACATAGCAAAAGCCCAGCTCTAACAAAACTTAAAAAAGTAAGTATCTAGGTTTTGGTGATGTGTGCCTGTAGTCCTAGCTACTCTGGAGGTTGAAATGGAAGGATTATTTGAGCCAAGGAGGTCAAGGCTGTAATAAGCCAATGTCATGCCACTGAACTCCAGCCTAGGTAACAAAGTAAGACCTCACCTCTAAAAACCAAAAAAACAAAAACTATCCAACATCTTCCTTCTAGAGACAAAAGTTATAAAAGAGTACAACTGCCCATTTATTAATGCCACATTGGTAATATTAGACAATTCAGTGATGCTGTACATTTCAATATTTTCTTGGGAACCAAATATTCTAGAGGGCACCCAACTTTCATTGTTGTTTGTTTGTTTTGGTTTGGTAATCTGGAAACTTGTAGGTTAAACTGTGTTTTAGGGTGAGATGAGAGGAAAACATAAGCGAAAGAGGAGGGGAAGAAGACCAGAACAAAGAAAGAGGAGGAAGTTGGGGCAGGGGATTAAGGCATACTCACCTATACTTTCTAACTATGTGAATTTCATGTGTAACACAACCATTTCACAGCCCACATTATAACTAAATGAAAAATTATAAGAAATTCCACTCTTGATTTATATTTTTCAGGAAATATTTATCAGTGCTATTTACCATTAGTTTTAGTATTTCTAGACACATGGGGCACCACATGTCTCTGCCCACATTTTTTTGTTTGAGATGGAGTCTCATTCTTTTGCCCAGGCTAGAGTGCAGTGGCATAATCTCTGCTCACTACAACCTTCACCTCCCAGTTCAAGCAATTCTCCTGCCTCAGCATCCTGAGTAGCTGGGATTACAGGCACACACCACCATGCCTGGCTAACTTTTTGGCATTTGTAGTAGAGACAGGGTTTCACCATGTCGGCCAGGCTGGTCTCAAACTCCTGAACTCAGGTGATCCACCCACCTTGGCCTCCCAAAGTGCTGGGATTACAGGCATGCGCCACTGCACCTGGCTGTCTCTGCCCACTTTGAATTTAGGTGTGACCATGTTGTTTGTTTTGACCAGGAACTTACAGCTCAATGGGCTTGTGTCATTTCTGGGCAGACATTTTGAATTTAGGTGTGACCATGTTGTTTGTTTTGACCGGGAACTTATAGCTCAATGGGCTTGTGTCATTTCTGGGCAGACATTTGAAGAGCCAGTGCTCAGCTGCCAAAAACTGATTGAACCAATGCCTTTCAAGTAAAATCTTTATGTTCCTTAACTCTCCTCTCCATCTCTGCTTCAACCCGAAGTATGTTAGACTGTTATACTGAGAAGTCGAGGAGAAATGGAAGGACAAGGGGAGGAAAGGAAATGTTGACAATGGGAACCATATGCTTTTTTTCACCCCATGCTTCTAAGTCAGGTAATTTAGATATTAGGTGAGTGAATGAAACTTTTATACTCAGCATTTCTAGACTTAAAATTCCTTAATATTGACATTATAAATATATTCCCACAATTAAAAATTCAAAAGATAAAGGCAATGCATACAATGAAAAGTCTCCTCATATCCCCCAAACCTATTAGCCCAGATCCTAACCTCCAATTTCTAAACTTCTTTTTATCACAGTCATGTTTGCATTCAGAGATTTTTAGATGATTGTACAAGAAATAGAAACATATCACTTTCTTTTCTCACCATACTCATTGAATACATTGTACATATGACTGTATAGGGTTGCATGAGAAGGAAAGGAAAAGGATGAAAGCTGGTATTTGTTAACACTTGCTCTGGGAAGTATGGTTTACATATGCTTACATAGCAGATGTCTCCTAACCTTGCAGGTAGGAGGGACAGAAGGAAGAGGTCTGTCAAAGAGAAGATGGGATTGAATTGTGTGTAGGAGGAAGATAGAAATGTCTTACCAGGAATTTGAGGGAAAGGAAAAGCCATGGGCAGTAATCTCTAAGGAATCAAAGGGCAGTCCAAGAAGCCATCATCTGTCCTTAGAGATCTGAATGCCATTCTAAGGAGCTTGGATACTCTGTTGTTGGAGGCAGGTTGAAGAAAACACTTGATCAGTTTGGCATTTAGAAAGATCGTTTCCTAGTATTCTCCACCTACTGGTGGCCTTTGTGGTTCACTTTTCAAAGTGTCTTCCCTTCTATTAACTAATTTGATCTTCACATTAACCTCTTCACATTAAGAGGGGTTCTCATTCTATTATTGTCCAGATGATGGTTCACTCAGCTGCCAAATCCCTGCACATAGCTGGTCAGTGGAAGGACCATATATTCCCTACTTCCCTTTGGTCATGCCCAGGATTGATGAAGAGAGCTGACCGGCCAGAGAGTAGAGTGGAAAAGTAGAGTGACTCTGTACTGGGCTTATGTATTTTCTATAACTTTGGGAAAAGAAATGAGAACACACAAGATACAGCAGTAAAACCAGATTAAACTAATTTTGTAAATTTATTCCTCTCTAGGGATTATCAGGAAAATGGCAAAATTATTATCTGTAATTGGGGTTTTCTACAACTATTCTGCCAGGAAATTTTCTAAGAACTCTACAAAGGTGCAGGCAGAACAAAATATTTTCTTCAAGGGTTTGAACCTTGAAGAGTGAGGAAAGTACCAAGAACCAAAATTCGAGTTGTAATTACCGATTTACCAATCAGCAAAACTGAAAATTCTTTTATCTCTAAGAAGCCAGTTGTTCAAAGAAAAGCTAGAACATGAAAATGTTCCATAGATAAATGAACTTAAATAGGGAAAAACTATTTAATTAAATGCAAGTCAATGTGCCAGAAAATAATTACACATTTTATTTCCTTCATAAATGACATCCACATATAATAACAGATTTCAAGCTCTAAACATGTCCAGCTACCTTGTAAATTGAAAAATGTTAAAAAAAATTCAGAAAATTATATGGCTATTAATACCACCTTTATCATTTGCTGTGACTGTGCTGACAAGAATAAGAGAAGATTTAAATGTCAGAAAAGTTCATGTCAAGTATTTTTTCTTCCTAGCACACTTTAAGAATATATGTTTTTAATAGCTATTCTATATTTAGAGCTATTTTATGGAACACTGTTAGTTTTGGTTTTAAGTTTATGTAACAGCATTTTAAAAATAAAATATAAAGCAATAGTCATTGTATACATTAGAATGGTAAATATTAGTAATAAAAATGTATATGTTAATTATATTTAACAAATGAAGTGAAGCTGTTAACCATAAATTTTATTTCTTTATTGGTTTGAATATTTGCTTTCTTGGAATTGTAGTTCTTAGAAGAAAACAATATCAACTTTGGAGAATAAAATAAAACATAGGAATAATACAAGCAAGAAAAAAATCATATACATATGCAATATACCTTTTTAAATATATAGTGGCATACTACATACTATATACACCACTTCTGCACTTTTAAAGACTGTAAATACATGTTAAGGCCTTCAGATTGCACACTAACAATCAAAAGCCATGAATGTAGAGGCAACTCAACTCCATAGAAGAGTTGTGCCTCAGGCCAAGATACGGCATGGGTATGTTTCCTACCACGTATTGCAGGGGATTAATCATAGACTGACCATTTGCTTCCCCGGCTAGACAATTCAGAAGGACTAGAGATGCTGTTTAGTAGTCCAGGCTAGACTATGCAGCAACCCGGAAGAAGCTTCCCTAGAGAGGTGGTCTCAGGAGGTGGGAGAGAGCTGAGCAAGCCCTCATGGGAAGGCACAATGGAGATGACCTGGATTAAACGCAATACCTTGGGTCACTGCTTCCAATGCAAAGGACAGACTGTGTCTTTGTTTCTTTCACGAACACACACTGAGAGCCTGTGGTGCACCAGGCACTGTGCTAGGCACCTGGGGAAGAGCAGTCAACTGCTCGTCCAACAGTATCTCTGCCTAGTCCTGACAGCAGAAGATAGAGGGAGCTATGAGGCAAATAAGTGAAGATGTGAATTTGGAGTCAGAAATTGTACGAAGTGACTTGTTTTGGCAGAGGTTGGCCCTTCTTGTGGAAAAGGGATCATCTGTTCCAGGTCTTGAATGGAACATAGCCTCTGTCTGGTTGCTCTGTGCATCCACAGTGGGTACCTCTTGTGTAGCTGGCAGTGTGAGAAGAAAAAAGGATGACCTGATATCAGTCTCAGGTTTATCCATCGGGGTGTCTGGATAAGAACTGTTGAGGTATCTGAGAAATGTGTATTATGAATGCAAATATAAATACAAGTATCAATAGTGAGGATATCCAGCATACGTGTGGGGTTCCAGGAATTGTTAACTATTTTAGCTATGATTTCATCAAGCCTCCTGACCACCCTACCGTAAGTTAGAACCTTCATCACGAATCTCATGTTATGGAAGAAGAAACTACATCTTAGGGAGGAGAAATCACTTGCCCAATACCATAAAAACAATTAAGAATATCTCTAGGACTTGGTTCAAGGCAACCTGACATTTGAGCATGGGCTACTAATCACTAATAAAGGATGTAGAATAAAAATAAGAAAAAAAGAGTTTGGCAAAAGCTTACCTTTCTAATTACAGAGACAAAACACTTAGAGACAGTGTATACATAGACTGAACCCTCAGGTATGGCACTAATTCTGTATGTCTTTCTAACTTTCTAATGACAGAAAAAATTATATAGTAGTTTGATACAGGTAAAGCTCAGATATAGTTTCTCCTGTGATCCTTAACAACTGTCAAGCCTACCATCATTGCTCATATCTAGGATTACACTAGGATCTATGTTGTCATCAATGATGCTAGCATTTGAGGCAAGATTTTGTTCTTATTATCTGAAATATCTGTATGTCACTAGAGACTAGAAGAGTATATTGAACCAAAACGTAAATATATGTTGTATTGGCTGTAAAATATTAGAATTCTCAAACAAAGAGACAAATATGTATGGTATAAAAGAGAATTTAAAGGTATCTCCTATTAAAATGTTCTGTCTCCTTTGTTAGACTCTGCTTTCTTTTGCTTCCTTTTACTTCATGGACTGATTTGATAAATGTTTCTAATCAAAACGACCTTAACCTAAATTAATAATCTGCTAAAAAATCACTGAAATACTGGGTACAGCTTAGTCATAATCTTTTCTATAATCTTTCAGTAAATTTCTTATATTATGTAATCAGAAAAAAGTAATCTTTTCTGAATTCCTTTAATAAATTCCTATATCATAATTTTTGTTAAAAATATTATCTGCTAGTTGTTTTTATAAAGTAGAAAAACTGACTCGTCCATCTAATGTTTAACACACTAGAAGCTCGAAGGCAGCAGTGATATTACATGTTTATTTATCAATGTTCCCTTCACCTAAAACAATGCCTAGCAAATAATACATTACATTAGTTGAATGAATTAATGAAAAATAAAACGAGAGAAAAGTTTTGTGAATCAACCCGAATCTCCACAAATATTTAACTTAATGTGTGCTTCTATTTTTATTAAAATGTAGCAAATTAGCCTATTCATTTATTACAAATGTAGAAGTTCAGTACATTTTCGAGTCACCTGAATGCCATGAATTTTAAAGGGTAGATATTGGCACATATATCAAGAATAAAACAAGCTTATATGAATTTAAATAACAACCAAAATATTCTAAATATTATAGATAAGAGTATACAAACATGGTTCTCTGCTATATGACCTCTTTATCTTCACATCATTGAACAACTGATACAGTCATTGGCACTAATTCTGTATACCTTTCTGACTTCCTAATGCCAGAAAAAAATTATATAGTTATTTGATTTTCTCCAGTGTGACTCGTACACAAGTTTTTGCTTTATTCAGTATTGTATTGGTGTTCAACAGGCCAGGTGAACATAGGGAAGGCATTGCTCTATGAAATGTACAATAGAAGAAAATGAGGGAATGTGAATAAAAAAGTAATACTTGTATTTTCCTCAGAATTATGATTTTTCACCCTTACTTAAAATATCCCATAACCACATAAACTATTATAGTTATTTTTTGCTTGAGAAGTCATCATCAAATACTTACTTTCTGAATGAAAACCACATACTGGTTCAAAATTTGACAAACATACATCTTGGCATGAGAATAGACTCTGAAAAGCTCAGTAGTATACCTGCAGTGATAGAACGAATTTTATTTTTTCTTGCGTTTTCAACCTTGACAAGTGATACAAGATTTGTGCATAATTTGGTCAATTTTTATACAGCATACACTCAAAAGAATGAAATGAAGTCCAGAGTATCTGCTTTCCTAATGACTCGTGCTGCACTTGGGACCCCTACCATCACCATGTGACACAGAAGCCATCTCAGTGGAGGATACCCTCAGCCAGTCTTTGACTCACATGGAAGTTCACAGCTCTCCTGTAAGGTACTCTAACAGAACTTAGCCTGACCTACATCAGCAGAACCAGCCAGGTGAGCCTACCCCAAATTTCAAATAGCTGAAACATGAGCATAAACAAAGGGTTGTCTTAAGTCACTAAATGTTGGGGGCAATTTATGTAGCAAAAGCTAACTCACCGTCCTTGGGTTAGTCGCGATTACAGCATCACATGTCTCTGGTAATGCATCCACAACTACCACTATCTTATTTCTGGATGTTCCCTGCCTTGAGATTGTAATCTCCAAGAGAACTGGGACCTTTGACAACCTTATTTTGCCACTGAACCCCAAATTCTCAGAAGAGTTCACAGTTGTTAGTTGCCCAGTAAGCATTGTGGAGTAAAGAAATATTAACTGTATATAATTATTTTAAAGGTTAAATAAAATAACATAAAGGCCAAAATAGACAAATGGGACCTAATCAAACTCCACAGCTTCTGCACAGGAAAAGAAACATTCATTACAGTGAATTGGCAACCGACAGAATGGGAAAAAATTTTTGCAGTCTACCCATCTGACAAAGGGCTAATATCCAGAATCTACAAAGAACTAAAACAGATTTACAAGAAAAGAAAACAAGCCCATTCAAAAGTGGGCAAAGGATATGAACAGACACTTTACAAAAGAAGACATACATGAGGCCAACAAACATATGAAAAAATGCTCATCATCACTGGTCATTAGAGAAATGCAAATCAAAACTACATTGAGATACCATCTCACACCAGTTAGAATGGCAATCATTAAAAAATCAGGAGACAACAGATGCTGGAGAGGATGTGGAGAAATCGGAACAATTTTACACTGTTGGTGGGAGTGTAAATTAGTTCAACCATTGTGGAAGACAGTGTGGTGATTCCTCAAAGACCTAGAAATAGAAATTCCATTTGACCCAGCAATCCCACTACTGGGTATATATCCAAAGGATTATAAATTGTTCTACTATAAGGACACATGCACATGAATGTTCACTGCAGCACAGTTTACAATAGCAAAGACCTGGAACCAATCCAAATGCCCAACAATGATACACTGGACAGGGAAAATGTGGCACATATACACCATGGAATATTATGCAGCCATCAAAAACGATGAGTTTGTGTCCTTTGTAGGGACATGGATGAGTCTGGAAACCGTCATTCTCAGCAAACTGACACAAGAACAGAAAATCAAACACCGCATGTTCTCACTCATAGGTGGGTGTTGAACAATGAGAACACATGGACACAGGGAGGGGAGCATCACACACTGGGGTCTGTCGGGGGGAAATAGTGGAGGGACAGTACGGGGTTGGGGAGCTGGGGAGAGATAGCATGGGGAGAAATGCCAGATATAAGTGAAGGGGAGGGAGGAAGGCAGCCAATCACACTGCCAGTGTGTACCTATGCAACAATCTTGCATGTTCTTCACATGTACCCCAAAACTTAAAATGCAATAAAAAAAAGAAAAGAAGATAACATAAAGGCATGTTTTAATTCTTGGCTATTTGTATTATAAGTGTAATTCCTATAGGTGTTTTATAGGAATACACTTCCATTACTGGTTTTATTGTCTTACTAAAAGATAAATAATGACCAAGAAACAAAAAGATATTTGGTGAGTCATTATTATGTAAAAAGAAAAAATGAGGTTCTGAAGTACTTGTGAAAAATATTATGCACTAGACTAGAAAATGAACATAGTGATTAAAAATAAACACTCCCTAATAAGTAAGGCTAAATTTCTATAGTTAATGAGCTTCTTGCATGTTTACTATTAACCAATTTTAAAAATGCATGAGGAATTAAGATTTTTTCCATGCTTTATTTATTCAAAATATATTCTGTACCTTTATGAAAAATATTTTATTAATCTTCTTGTTCTTTAAATCACCCCTACATAATCATTTAATTTTTAAAATTTATTAACTGCATTGTTGAATATTTGAAATACACATCTGATATTTGTTATTGAACTTTAAAATGATATATGAGGATTTAGGTAAATACTGTCTGCCAAAAATTAATTTTGGAAAGTAATTCATAAGATAATATTTTGGATACAGTTCTGCCAGCAATAATTAAATATGCTTTGAGAAGAAAATTGCTACTCAAATTACCCTTCTCATCCTTGGCACTTTCTAAAAACCAGACAAATATTTTTTAGTTTGTGAAAGCTGCTCATAACAGTTACAAGCTAATTAATTATAAAAGATTTAGCCATGCATTTGACCATAAAATAGATTGGTTGTGGCTGCTGGAGTATAGTTTTAGATGATTTTATAATCCAAGCATTGCTTTGACTTACTGATGATTTAAATGATTATGTGTGGGTGATCTTACTATATTAATATATATAGGCAGCATTTATACCCAAAATAAGATGTAGATTTGTTTTTTACTTCCAAATTTCAATGTTTGTTTCTACATGAAAAGCATGAGCCTAAGTAAAAGTTCGGTGCCTTTTCCTCTTTCCTTTCTAGCAATTGAATTGATTAGAACATCTAATGTATCTTTATCAAATTCCTTAGACACATATATTATTAACATTTACTGTAATCATAACAGTCTTAAAATTTTATGTCAAGTAAGCTCTTAATATCATCAAAGTAGTTTAGACCCAGCATTTAGAGACAACATATGGGCTAGTTTTTCTTTATACAAGTCCTGTACTTCTTTGACTCAGTTCCTCGACCTATAAATGAGGATATTACCTCTTGCCTGACCTTTGTCATTATTATAAAATGAGCATTGAGGTCAATTTTAAAGTATCAGTAGGAATATGAGAATCTGGTACTAGATACACCACTAAACAAAAGATTGTACTTGGTGAGATACAAGTCAAGCTGATTCATGTATTAACTTATGATCTGCTTCTGCCAATCTTTCCTGACCTGATTTTTACCTTATACCAATGTATGGATGGCATTTAAGCACACTCTTAGCCAACCCCATGCTGAAAAAGCACCCTGGTAAGAAAATCGACCTCCATCAATGGCTTTAAGGTATGGCCTGTGAATCTTGTCTATCACCATTTACTTAAGAGACCCATGAGAAAAAGAGAGGACTGAGAAAATCACTAATTATTAATCATTTCAAAGTAAAGGGTACAAATTAATTACTCCACAACTTCCTCTCTCTCTGGAGTGCAGTGGCACAATCACTGCTCAATGCAGCCTCTATCTCCTGGGCTCAAGTGATCCTTCCACACCAGTCTCCCAAGTAGCTGGGACTATAGGAACATGCCACCATGCCTGGCTAATTTTTGTATTTTTTTTTGTAGAAATGAGGTCTTGCCATATTGCTAAGGCTGGTCCCAAACTTCTGGGCTCAAGCCATTCACCTGCCTCAGGCTCCCAAAGTTCTGGGATTACAGGCGTGAGCTACCATGTCCAGCTACTCCACATTTCTAGAGAGTAAATTCTCCTTGAGTTATAAGTCTGGGACATACCTTCACTGCTATGTAAGATAAAGCCTCTCATTCAGTTTTCTTGTTCAGTTCACACTGAACATATTTTATGCTGAGAACACTACTAGACACTGAGGATTAAGCTATAAAGTAAAAAGCAATGTCTATGCTCTGTTATGGTTCACATCCTTGAGGGGTAGCAGAAAACAAGGAGGAAAACCTAAGGTAGGAGATCATATCCTGTGGCGATAAATAAAGCAAGCCACGGGAACATAAGTTGATTTGGGGGAAGTACCCTGCATTACTTTGAATAGTGTGAACAAGGTAATGTGGAGATATGGAAACTTTGCTGAGCTGCAAAGATCTGGAAAAACTGCAGAAATGATGGAATAGAGAATACAAAGGCCCCAAGGTAGGAAAATGTTGGGTATTGAGGCCAATGCAGGTTAGTGGCATGACTGGTTAAGAAAGGAAAGGCAAAGTCCACATTGTGTGGCTATCAGTCCTGTTCCAACCACTGGTTGAACTCAAAGTGCAGAGTCTGAAGCCAAAATGTTAAGGTCTGCATTTTGACCCCATTACTTACTGACTATGTAATCTTGCCTTAATCTCTCTAAGACTTTGCTTTTATTATTTTTTTCTTTTTTTTGAGATGGAGTTTCGCTCTTGTTGCCCAGGCTGGGCTGCATTGGCGCATTCTGGGCTCAGCGCAACCTCCACCTCCTGGGTTCAAATGATTCTCCTGTCCCAGCCTCCCAAGTAGCTGGGATTACAGGCATGTGCCACCATGCCCAGCTAATTTTTTTTGTCTTTAGTAGAGACAGGGTTTCACCATGTTGGCCAGGATGATCTCAATCTTTTGACCTCGTGATCCACCCACCTCAGCCTCCCAAAGTGCTGGGATTACAGGCGAGAGCCACCGTGCCCGGCCTAAGACTTTGCTTTCTTAAGTGTAAAATAGACATAATGACAGCACTTTCACAGGATTGTAATGAGAATAAATGAATTTTTGAAAATGACAGGCTTAAAATGGTCACTAGCTGTAGTAAATGCTGATGCCATAAATTCACTGTTATTATTCTCCCCCTGCTCATGAATCCACCTCTCCTCCCTTTCTCCATAAGATTAATTTTTCATAAAAGATTTAAAACTACTTCTTAGAGTGGGAAGAATAAAGGAGTCTCAGAGTGGGATAGCAAAGAAGAAAGAAAAGTGGGAAAAGAACGTATATTCAGTATTAAGGACATGATGTTTAGGCTTCTCACTTAATGTGGCTTAGTCATCACCGTAACAACCCTGGGAAATACAGTAAGGATAATCTGTGTTTTACATATAACATGAAACTGAAATTTGCAGGTTAAGTTACTATCCAAAAGCCAAAAGAACCCTGGGGTAGAGCTACTATGTAAATTGGAGGTGTTAGAGAAGGAAGGAAACAAGGAAGTAAGCAGCAAGAAAGGGAGGAAAGAAAAGTGACTTAATTATGAATTAGAGGGAGCATTATGGAACTTTTTGAGCAAGAAGGAAAAAGTAGAAATTGACAAAGAAAATGGATGAAGCAAATATTCTGACACATTTAAAGAACACTCAGAATTACAGAATGAGAAAAGCCTATTTTTCTTCCATCTCTTCCTAATATATTTCAT